CGGGGGGGGTCCCGCCGCTCCGCCGCTCGCTGCAGCCGCCGCCGCCGCCGCCATCTTGTCGCGAGGAGCGTCCCCCTCCCCCACCCCGGCTGCGGCACCGCGTGAGATCATCCGCACGGGGCGGGGCCGGCTACTATGGCGACGCCGCGGCTCCGTGCGTCACGCCCGGCGAGGCGCACCATTGGAGGATCCGGCGGCAAGGGGCGGGGCCGGCCGGCTGCAAGGGGCAATCCCCGTGGGGAGTCCTGCGCGCGGTGGCAGCGGTAGTCCCGTGGGGACCGGGAGAGCCGCGGCCGCTGGGCAGAGGCGGGGATCAGCCGGGGGTTCTCCGGTTCAAAGAAATCCCCAGGTGTCGGTTAAAAAAAGTAACCCCCAAAGCCATATTTGTCATGATTAAAATGAAACATCACTACGTATATATAATCTATATATATCTATATCGATACAGAAAGGTATCTATGTATGTCGATATATAGATAGTTATCTTTCTCTATGCAGAGATCTATATGTAGATATACATAGATATGTGTGTGTGTATATATAGAGAGAGAGAGAGAGAGGGAGAGAGAGATCCATACAGATATATCTAGATACATCCACAGGCAACTGGTGGGGGGGCAGATATGTATCTATGTATACCAATATATCTTTTTTTTATTACAGAGATATATCCATATATAGCTATATATACAGAGAAAGAGAGATGCACATTTTTCTGTGATGTAGTGCTATATAGATATAGATATATATAGATATATATTAGTGGTATTTCATGTAAATCACATAAAAATGTGCATTTGGGGCTACTTTGTTTTAACCTAAAATTGGTTTGTTTGTTTTTTTAATCAGAGAAAACCCGCATCCCCATTATTGGACCCACTAGGTTTTGCACAAAAAAAAAGTCTTGGGTTTTCAGACCCACACATCCTCCCTCAGCCACAGGAGAGTGCAAAGGTTGTCAGATTTCTCCTAGGTGGAAATGGAAACTCATATTTAGCAGGAGAGCTGAACATGTTGTTGCATGTCCCGCTTGGAAAAGTTCTCTTTGTGCAAATTGGGCTCAGATAAAAGTTAGAGCAGTCTCTTTATTTAATAAAAGATATGACCAGGGATCCGGGCTTTCTCCAATTAAAAAAAAAAAATCCCCAATTTTTTGTTAAAAAACAAAGTAACCCCCAATCCACATTTTTCCATGATTTAAATGAAACAACACTAACCTACAGAGATATATATAGTGATTGTAGTCCATGAGTGCAGGCTCGCAGGGTCTGTGGAGCACAGGCTGAAGACCATGGAGCTGGGATGCTTGCCCTCCCGTCCCTCAGGGAAACCGACCCTTGTCTGGGAGGTCTGTGCTGTTGCTGTTTGTTTTAAAAGCAGAGGTTTGTCAATATACCAAACATCAACAAGAGCAGCCAGGAAATCCTGTTTCCAGGCACAGGTTGCTTGCTTCACCCTCTCCTCCCAACAGCAGGACACTAGAAGAGGCTTCTGAGCCACGCTCTGCACTACCTGCCACTGGGACTAATGACATGTGAGTCCAGGGATCCTGGATTTCTCTGCTTTAAAAAAATCTCCAATTTTCAGTTAAAAAAAGTAACCCCCAATCCCCATTTTTCCATGGTTAAAATGAAACGTCACTATATATAGATACAGCTATATATAGATACATCTATCTATATCTATCTATCTATAGATATAGACCCATTATATAGATATAGATATATCTAGATAGATAGATATATTACTGGTGTTTCATTTAAATCACAGAAATATATGGCTTGGCGGTTCCTTTTTTAACTGAAAATTGGGGATTTTTTTAAAGCAGAGAAAACCAGGATCCCTGCATATGACAATAGGTAAAAACGTGACTGTTTTGCTTTTTGCCCTCTAAAGTGTCTATGGGAAAGAAAAAGTTTCTCCCCATCTCCTCTAAAGCTGCCTGAGGAAAAGCTTTTGACTGCGGTGACCCCAGCTGGCAAAGCACAACTGGTTGCAGCTCCCATATTCCTCATGCCGGGCACTAGCCACCACTTAATTAGAAGATAAATCTCTCACAAGGTCAAATGACACTGAACATTCAAGGAAAGGCTTCTCCCTTTCGGTCGTTTCCTCGTCCTGACCCATATGCCAGCACTGACCACACTTTGTTCCAGAAACTCTGTCCTACAAAGTTCTTGTCCAAACCACAAAGCCAGACTTTCCCTTGGCTTCAAAGGCTCCTGAGCATCATGGGGAGGGAGTCAGGTTTTATTGGGATAGTTTCTCCAGCCTGTCATGAAAATGCCGGTTACCAAACGCTTCTCCTGTCCACATCAGTGAGAGTGTGGGTGGGTTCAGCTCAGCAGAAGCCCAGCGTTTGAGTGCAGCAGTGATTTAGCTCGTTATTAGTGATTCAGACTTCCCACCTCAGTTGTAATGAGACTAAACAGATTATTCAAGCTGCTCAGCGAGCGCTCACTACCCAAGGTTCACCCCAACGTTCCCAATTCTGAAACATGGTTTTTAATTACTAGACGACATCCTGAGGCTCTGGCCCTGGCAACGCCTGCTGGGAAGCAGAAGTGGTGAGGGATTGTAGTAACCGACTTCAGCACTGGGATGTTTCTCAAGCGCTGAGAGGCCGCTGCAGCACAGTCTTACTGGAAAAAAGAAAACCAGATCCAGGGGCGTCCACGGAACCTCTCTCACACTTTGTGCCCCACTCCTACACTTCCTCGCATATGACGCTTCACGACATGCAATTTTCCGTCTGGCTTATGGGAGGTTTTGTTTTTATGACTAGTAACACTGCAACCCTGCCATTTACTCCTGAACCACAGCTCTCCTCATTAGTTCTCAGCGTCTCATGGGTTTCTCTCGATGCCTTTCATTCTGAAACTGTTGCAATCATAGTGCTCTCCGGATCTGAAAGTAACCATGTGCCAATGAACACGGGTTTAGGATGTGGAAAACCTCGCTCTTCTGCATTACTTAGTCATCCATTTTTTCAGAAGTGCTCGGTCCAATACGTGGGGGGAGGGGGGAGGTACTCTGATACGATCAGACCGTGTGGGCTTTTTTGCAGCCACTTCTAGTCATGCACCCGGACAAAGAAACTCTTACCTGGTGTCTAGCGGTGGCTGCGCTGGAGAAAGGAGGACTTTTATTTTTGGGGGCAGGGAGAGCGAACAAGCAAGGGAACACAGCCTTGAGGTTCCCAGAGTAGCAACTCTTGCATTGAAAAATTAGGCTTGATTGTGCCACGACACTCAAGGAATACGTGTCCCATTCAGCCCTGCAGTAAAGTCGTTAGTGGGCCAAGGTACATCAGGGTGGAACGCTGAAATGAAACATGCTGGTCTGAGCCTGAAAAGAAATACTGGGGTTTGGGTAATCAGAAGACACCATTGTAGAGAACTGAGAAAACAACTGAGAGTTAGACAGGAGACCACAGAGAGCTCGGCAACTTCCTATGCACTGGGTGAAAAAAAAAAAAAAAGAAAGTCTGAAGAAAAGAACCAGGTTGAGGTTGCTAGCAGATGCCACAGCCTGGCCACAAGCTACAACCAGATTCCAGCAGTCCAGAAACCCCCTTGAAAGGCTACACAATGACAGCAAAAACCGACAAGACAAGGAGCAAGCAACATCTCCTGCCTCGAGCTTAGAGCCACCACATCAGGGCACACCTTTGACCCCAAGTATCCCTCCATCTACCTCCTTGTAGGCTCCAGCACACTGCTCTGCTTCGGGATTTTATAAGAACCTTGATTCGCATCACGCCCAGAGGCCACACAAGCTGCAGCTTTCAATGGACGTGCTGTCCAGCTAATGGAAGAACCCATATTATTCCCTGATAGCTCAATCTCCCCCTTTTTCTTCCTCTCCCCCTCCTTATTTAAACCACAACAAGCTCATTTGCAACAATTATTTGTCTGAAGAATCACTGACTCAAGCTGTAGTCACTACTAGGAGGGAAGCTTAAACTAGAAAGCTGACAGCTCACAGCAGAATTGCTCTCCCACATCCCTGGGCACAAAGCCTGTAAAGTGAGAATCATTTCCATGCTCAAATCTGGAAGTTGCTGCCAAGTGACAGAAAGTGTCTATCTTCCTGGATATTTTTCTGTGTGTTTACATATCTGTGTTTGATTTCCTTTAATTACAACAAAGTCTTGCTTCCTGCTGGAAGTCAGGAGTTTCATTCCTGGTTCCTCCCTGCTTCTGGGGCATCTGCAAATCAAGGAATGAAAGTGCAGCAGGGAAGGCTCAGGATGGCCCATGGATGCAATACGGCAGTGTGTGACTGCCCTCTCCCTGTCAGCGCAGGCTGAGAGAAAACACTGAGTGCTACAGAGTATTGATGTTGGTGATTTCACTGTGGTAAGAGAGTTTTCTCTTCACCAGGAGTCGGCTGGATTCTTTGCACTTCCATTTTCACTTTAAAATACATACATGCAAATCACCCGTTCCCGCCCTGCTCCAAACTGGGGCCTCTCATGGCAAATGAAAATCTAGCTGGGCAACAGGACACGTTACACTCTCATGCTGTTCTGCCAGCGCACCTCAGCTCAGCATCCCGGCACCTCCCACCTAGAATCTACCCATCCATGTGCCTCACTCCGTCTGCAGCGCCCCCTTCTCTTCAAGCTCTGTCGAGTCTCCCCAAATCCAACCCAGCCACCGTGGGGTGCGTTTGCAAGAACATGTGGAAAAGAGAGCAGGAGAGAGTGAATTAAAACCATTTCATAGTAATCAGTAACTTACAGAGTTCATTGACTTAGAAGCAGTCAGTGCCAAGCAAATGTGTACATTGCAATTTGCACTTCAAGGACAATGAGTATTAATTACAGCCCTTTTTATCTGTTCTCATTTCCTTTCCCTAAATTTCAGCTCAATCTTTAGCTATTCTCTTCTCAAGTGTTAGGCTGGGCTTTTCCTTTATTTATCTGTAGAGCTGCTTTGTTCTTTCTTGCAGGGCAAACAAAAGAATGCAATTTTTAGCTTTTTTAAAAGTTCTACAACTGTCTTTTAAATGCGTGGCATCCTGGGAGTTGGATTTCCAGCTTTGTGGGAAAGCTGGAGGTTCAGGGCTAGCTGCTTTAGGGAGACCAAACACAGGAGACGAGGCCTGATGTGGTTACTGGCCTCGCTATTGCCTTCATTTAGATGCATCACAAAATATCAGACCCCTTTGGCATGACAGTCTGTCCAAGAAATGCCAGGGACTGGAACAGCTGGGATACAGTCAGTCAGAACTGGGGGAACGTCCCACCACTTCCTGTATCCCAGAGCACTGCACAGCAGCACGCTCCAAAAAGTCCATGCGAGGCACCTGCAAAAGTCCATGTGAGGCAGTCAGGGCAAAGTGCGGCAGCCAAGTGTTGCAATTACTTGCTTCTGTTTGATCTTGCTATTGCTACCGGCTAATAGAAACAGAGGAAGAAGAGTGCAGTCCCGCTAAGGCAGAAAAAAGCCTCTGAAGGAGGGTGATGGAAACTAATGGTGGGGCTGAGAGAGCAGATCAAACAGCCCAAGGCAGCGTAATGCATCAATCAGAGTTGAAGCCGAGGGATATGGTTCACGGTTGCTTTACAGACCAACAATCCTGTTGCTTCCACCCTAAAAGCTGCTACATGAATCCATGTTTAACTGTGGCGACTGACACCAAAATCCAGAAACGATGAGAAAAGCTCCGGATCCTGAGTGTCCACTGTCCCAAGCCCTGCCTACTCATTTGCAACGATACAAGACCTGGTGGCATTTCACATTCCCTTTGCACAGCTTGCAGCAGCCAGGCAGTGGAAGAACAAGCCGTGAATGTTTTTTTTCTCTCTCTCTTTTGTGTTTTTTTACCCTGCGGGCCCTTCCTGCTCTTCTCCTCACACCCAAGTCACAAGGACCCTTGTTAAAGAACTTTGGAAAAGGGACTCGCCAGAGACGTGTACCAGGACAGTGCGCTGACCAGGGAGACAGCGCTTGCTATCACTAGGACTCAAAGGCTACCTGCAGCCTGGGGGTCGCTGTCACTTGGGTCACCCTAAAACAATGGTCTCTGCAATAAATTTGACTCAGTGTTTAGGTGGCCAAGGGATAATGCACAGAGGCCCGGTCCATTATAAAATTCTTGGGCAAACTAATCGTCTTGTGTTTCAAAAATGTGGCATATGCCAAGCCTCTCCACTTCTCCAAAGAGATATGTGAGGACTGAATTCAGATGCAAGAGTTAAATGATGCAAAATCATGAAGTTTGGAGTTGAATAAAACTCAAACCTTCTACCCATGGATCAAAGTCCTTGCCCCTGGGCCATGATATGCAGACACAAGGGGTCTGACCTCATCATTAATTAGTAGTTTTGCATGGATCGATTTTCATTTATCTGCATCTTTCATTCATTAAAGATGTTCCAGAGAAGTTTGTTGTCAAGGTTGCCCAGGGAAACTGCTGAATTAACCTCAAGTGGTCTAGCTGTTGCCCACGGCAACGCTCCAGCCGCATCTCCCCATAAAACAAGAGGCAGGTGTACTGATGACATGCTTAAAAAAAATAAAAAGCAGCTGATTGCTTTTGATACCAACTTTATTTAATAATGATTAATCTTCAACCAGACTTCTTTGTGTGTCTGTGGGTAAGGCTTGCCATATGGAGTGAGAGTTAATTGTCATTGGAAACATGAAGGGAAGCTCCACAACACAAGCTGCAAAGGAGTATTTGCCTGATCCCTTCTTTGAACCTCCCGTCATGGCTGCGTTCTTCATACACTGCCCAGATCTCAGGTCCAGGCAGCAAAACCAGACAAATAATGAATTCTTCTCCCCCAGCCCATCAGACCTGAACAAATCGGGACACTCCAATAACAAGGCACAAAACATACCTGATCAGCATCTTGGTCTCCTGAATGTCCTCTGACATGATGTACTGTGCAATTTAATCTGATCTTCTGGAATCAATTTTGTAACACACTAAATCATTCAAGGGTAAAGGTCTGTGACTTTCCACTGCCCCACTATCCCATGAAAGTCAGACTGTGATTAGATCACAGACAAATTCGCTGGCCAAAGGCTCCCAGGCGTTTAAACTGTCACTCAGCCTGATTTGAGTCACTCAAGATGCTAAAGGCTGCCACCCCCATGGGTTCCAGGTATCTCAAGTACCTCCAAATGAGGGACATTACATAACAAGCAGCAGAGGAGACCAGGATTTGAAATGGTCTGGACCCTGTTTATTTTCAACATGCACAGTTCCTCTTTACCTCAGTATTAAGACTCAGAATTTCTATTATCAAGTATCACTTAAGTCTTCCATGATGCTATTGTCTGCTTCTGTCTGCAGGATTTTCACCAGATCGTGGTTTGCAGGTTCAGAAAATCACATGAGCTACTTTGGTCTTTCTTCTCTTTCCCAGCTTCAGTTCTCAGAGGTCCCTACCTCAGGAAATTCCCACTCGCAGGTCGCCGCACATGAAAATGGTATTTGGATGAGTGGGTGCAATTTATGCACTATCTCTGCCACCTATGTGCCATTTTCACATGTCTGACACAAGCATCAGTCAGAACATTCAGCACTTATTACATGTCAGTCTCATGGCCCTGAGTGTGACTTATATATGAGAGACAGTAGCCTCAGTCTGGTTCTTAGTGGGCAGGTCTCCGTGCTACTCAACGATCAGGAATGCGTGACCATCTGAAGTTTCTCCTGGCCACAGGTGGGCTGAAAACACCAACCTAAAGGTGAAAATCTCTGGATGCCCCTGACACTCCCCTGAACCCCACTAGCTCCTGATGACAGTTCCCCTAGCTAAGTTTCGGGCTGTTTGTCCCAGGGTCAATTTTCCCCTGCAGGGCTTTATGATATTTATTGCCTCTAATATTTATACTCTTTTCCTCTGTCTCTCATACTCATCTTTTTCTCTACATTTGTATCATAGTTTCCTTGTAGACAGTCTATTCCAGCCTGTCTATTCCAAAGGCAGTCCCTACTGTCATAAAAAAAACCTCCTTCTAACCACAGGGCAAGGACACATCCTCTGAACTGGAGGATTTTATCTTTGGTGACCTCAGTATCAACCCTATTCAGAACGGGTAGAATTTTTTTAAGTTCCTGATTCAGGGCAGCAGCATGTGGGCTTCTTGGTGCATGAGATGCTTTGTAAAACGTTACTCAGAGTATGCAATATTCCCACAGTGGGGGTTCTGAAGGTGAACTGGGCCATCTGCTTGCTTTCTGGGGGAGGACGGTAAGAGCATGTCACACCCGTCCACAGTAATGGCAGAACTGGCACCTGTCAGAAATGACATTGAGCGTTTCCCAAACCTGCCTGGGCAGAAGGAAGCTCACAACTGTACTGCAAAGATGTTCTTAAGCATGTGGGAATCCTCAAGGCTTTAAAAGGGATAAAATGACCTGAATCCCTCTTTAAAAGATAACATGTGAGCTGGCAGATTAACAGAATAAACCTCTTAAAATGGCTACAGCGCTGCATGAAATGAATGAGAGTGGAGTGATTCAGCTGGCGAGAGAAAAAAAAACAGGCCTCATATCGGGAAAACGTGTGTCACAAGTTAACTGAGGTCAGTATGATCCTCCTGTACAACTGGCCTGAGTAGGGACTGAATATCTCCGGGGGCTGGTGACAAGGTAGTGCGTTGCTCATCTCCGCATACCTGACTCAGATCCGGATTAGATAAACAGTCGTTCATTCCCACCTGACGGTGGTTTGGTGAGCTGTGCATGTAATGAGTTTGGTGGGTCTTAAGTCAGTGGCCACGGGACTGGTGTCCACCTCACACAGCCAGAATCTGGCATGAACTGGGTCCGTGGACTTTGGTAGAACAGGACTGGGACAGGGTACCTCGATATAGAGTCAGTGGTCATATCTGGAGAAATGAAGGGCTCCTACCAGCAACCACTGAAGTCAGCAACAGCAGCTGGGTGCTCAACTCTTTTTAAAATACACATCCAATGACCAATGGCACCAGATAACCAAATTTGGAGACCTTGGCACATTGTATAAGACCAACAAAACTGAGGTGTTGGCACCCCCTGCGGGCTACTCAGCGGCTGAACTACAACATCCTTTTCTCAGGACTGTGCTGATACAATCAGAGCTGTACGTGCTTGGAAACGGATGTCAGCAAACCGAGCCGATTACATTTCAGACCGTCAGAAATACGGACGGAAAGATCCGCGTTTGCCACACAGAGAAGAGCAAAAGCAGCAGGCTGAGAAATGCCATTTTTCATTTTAAATGGATGTTATAAGTACTAGAGATAAGCAAAGGTAAAATCTGGTTTCATAAACACCAGACAGTCTTTGTACAGATCTGGCTTTCAGCAATCCTTTTTGCTACTCAGGTAGTTCTCCGGTGGGTATTTTTTCATAGCCAGCAACTTACCCTTAGAGGATTCGTTTCTTCCAGTAAATCAAGGTCCATGAGAAACCCGATGCTCCCCAATGCCAAGTGATGCGCAGCGGCTTCGAGAGCCAAGCCAAGCAGCGCACGCAGCTCAGTGCTGCTGAGCGCCTCGACCGTGACGAATTATTAGACGCTGTGACGCAGGATCATCACACAAGGTGACGGTGCTGGTGCACGACGAAGCTGCGGGCTGCCGTGTTGCAAGAAACGTCTCAAGAAAGCCCTGGCGGTCAGGCTGCCTGAACATATCCCCTTCGTCCCACCGCCGCGGGATGGCGTCCGGCCACCGAGCTGGAGAGGAGTCATCACAACCATGGCGACGACCTGGTGCGACGCAGGGGATGGCCGTGGCTCATCAAAAACACCGCATGCAGCAGGGATGTGGCATGGAGAGGGGCAGACTCGGCCTCGCTGCTAGGCCCAGCCTCATGACAGGGGATTCGATAGCCACCTTCGATTCGGTCCACATGTCGCCACACGCATCATGGCTTCGCAGTAACATCGTGGCTTCACAGTCACATCGTGGCTTCGCAGTGACACCATCGCTTCACAGTGTCATCAAGGCTTCACAGTAGACTATCCCAGAGCCCTCTGACACCATGGAGCGGCCCTCTGACATCATCACGCTCCCCTGAGCCACGTCACACGCCCCCTGGAGCCCGAGCGCCCTCGCCTTTCCGTAGCGCCCCCTAGGGGCGGGGGCAGGCCCAGCCGGAGGCGGCGCGGGCGGGACTTCCGGCAAAGGCCCGAAAGTGATTGGCGGGCGCGGCGGAACGGAAGCGGAAGTGGCGCGGGACGCAGGCGCAGCGGCGACCCGGGGCCGAGGGGAGGGAGCGC